TATAAATTACACTAAATATTTTTTTTAATGATTTCAGGCGTCACAGGTATCTAGCCTACAGAAGCTTTGTGAGCTGGTGCTGGGGCTTCCTTGGACGGAGGATCAGAGTGGTGATTCCGGTCTGCGTTGTCCTCAAGGAGACAGGAGTTTCCTGATCCGCAAAATGTCGATGTTGGGTTCAGACAGCAGCCAAATTGAACCGTGTAGCATACCCGGCGATGACCTCGTCCCTGTCAGGTCGCTCATAATGGTGCAGGGTCCACAAAGACTTGGTCGAAGATGAGGTCCATCAAGTTGGCCACGTAGCCTGTGCAATGTTAAAAAAAAGCACAACAAAAAATGTGGTTTAGATTAGTATATGCATGTAAAAAACTGAAAGTTCTTTCTAATTTTATATTTGTAAATAGTTGTATAATAAATATTTTAAACACTTACGGAATGTGGGGTCAGTCTTTACTGGTTTTGCTCTGCATTCTCCCTTCCTGGCCTTTGGGAACTGCAGTTTATACAGAGGGTTTCCAGGGGATGTAGGCTTGTGCACGCTCAGCGTTTTCATTGTAGTGCAGGGCTGCCAGGTACAGTCTTTCATTTCCGCCATGAGAAAAAAAAATGTAAATAATAGCAAAGGATGTACAAATTGTCACTAATTAGTAAGTATGTGAGGTGCTGGCCTGTAAAGAAGAAAACATAGTTGGAACAAAATCATCTCAATTTAGTATTCAGGATGAGAAAATACTATTTGGATAAATATAGTCTGAAATCCCAAAAGATGGGGCTTAAAACTCTCTATTTAGCAAAGCTCTTTGCTTAGCCTTTTCCAATCTGAGTTAGTTTTGAACCGTAATGTGCATGCTGTGTTTCTGACTCAATACAGATGATGTGTTGGAGAGGGGCTGAGCTCAGTAGACTGACTGTAATGAGTGCTAGCCACTAATTAGCCTGTTGCTAGGTAAGGCCTTGTCAACAACAACATACCAACGGGGCTTTAGCTCCGTTTTACTCGTGGTGTGTGTCCCCCCTCGCATACATACACACAGTGTTGTATCCTCACACACCCCCATTTATATTCATGTGCGCAAACAAGTAAACATACAAAAGCTTTTACATATAACGCTGCAAAAAACGGCATGTCTCATTAGCGTAGCGTAGCTTACAGATCGATGATATCTGATCGTTCTTAGAGACTACAATCACAAAAGCTTTTACATATAACGCTGCAAAAAACGGCACTTACCTACAGAAGATTACGTTTGTTATTATAACTTACTCAATATGATTTTAGAGGATACAAAATACTAATAAATAGGAGAATAAATACTTGTGTTATCGGCTAGGGCGTGGCTTTACAGCCTTCACACAGATCGCCATTACGGCAGTATGTCTGAACATGTTAGCAAATGCCTGATAATTAAAATAAAAGACAAAGCAAAGACTGCGGAGCGTACAATATAAAATGTTACAAAAACATATAAACACCTAACCGATTACTATTTGGGTTTGAGGCGACATTGATACGGCAAAGCTACATGCTACATGCTACATACTACAAGCTAGAGATAGCTTTATCAGGAAAAACACCGCTAAATAAAAACTTACAGCTTCAAAATTGGATGTGTCCTCACTGGCCTGCTCCCGGATGGTTGGTATTGATCCCGGCAATGCACGTGGCCGTGGCTCATTCCCCTGATAGGTGGAGAGTTGACCAATAAGCGGAGCACGTCTCTTTGTGACGTAGGAAAGTGTTGAAATCTGGATCCGTTTTTTTCAGATCCGTTTCAGCCACTTTTTTAGAGATTTGGCGAAGGAGGAAAATAGAGAGGGTTGTGTTTTCTGACACTTGGTGAGTTCCCTGGAACACCGGGGACACATATTCATGTATAAAAGACGTCCAAAGGTGCATTTTGCATGATAGGTCCCCTTTAAATTGAAATCAGATGAAAACAAACTGTAACGGACCCTGCCGTGTTATCTATGATTACTATACGCTTACATTCATAATGTCAGCCGGAGGGAGGGGGGGCGGCGCTGCGGAAGAGCAGATTGCGAGTGAGAGGTGCCTGTCATCTTTCCTTTACAAGCTTCAAAAATGTATTTATCGTGTGATTTTGGAAATAAAAGTTTCATATTCTGAAATCCAAGACTTTGTTTGTTTAAAATCAAACAAAACACCCGAACCCCGAAAAAATATTTTTTTACGCAAATCCACGTTTATTTTGAAATGAGCCGTTGCGACTTCCAAACTGATTTCGATAGAGCGGGTCACATATAGGCTAATGGAGATTAGAGATGGGTGTGTCCTGATTCATCCGGATCATTAACCCGGATCCTAGTAATGAGCTGGTCGTGACGAGTCTCCTGGTGACGTACAAATTAAAACTATAAATTGCGTCACTCGCTACTCTCCTTATAACATGTAAAATCACATTACAACATACCCCAGTCCATCTGCCTAGCCTTTAGCAAGTAGGATAGCTGCCAGAAGTTATCGTTTGGCTCAGGGGACACGGATCAGTGAAACTTCCTGCAGACTCGTGCGGACTCAGACTCAGAGCCGTAACCGTAGCAGATCCAGAGATCCAGAGATCCAGGCAGACTCATCATGCAACATGCAACTCAACAGCAGACTCAGATTCGCAAATCCTGACTCACTGAATCTAGGGAACTTCCTTCACTTCCTGCAGACTCGTGGGGACTCAGAACCGTAACCGTGTAGCAGATCCAGAGATCCAGACCATGATCCAGACTCGTCATGCGTCGAGCATAGCCGCGGGGAGAGATTTCAACAGTAACATGAAGTTTTTCAAATGTACACCATTCGGAGCCCCGCCTCCAGCACCCCTACTTCCCACGGCTATTGTGCAGGAGTCAACAGCAGACTCAGAGATTCGCAAATCCTGACTCGCTGTGCAAAACACAGCAGACTGGTGCGGACTCAGAGCCGTAACTGTATAGCAGCAGATCCAGAGATCCAGCAGACTCGTCGTCGTCATGCACGAGTCAACAGCAGACTGAGATTCGCCAAATCGCAAAATAACCCTTTTTTTTGTGATCATCATTTTTTATTAAAGCAAAAGACACTGTGTAGCGGAGGTTAATGTAATGTTAGTTTAATATGCTCGTGAAATGCAACAAGTTTTCGGTTTCACCGGTAGGATTTCTACGCTCTTGGTGATGCTGACTCATATGACTCAAAGGACTTGTATGATCCGGATCTCTTCAATGACTGACTCAGAAGACTCAGAGTCCGTAAAAGGATCCGGATTTGCTATCTCTTGGAGATGCAGTTATTTCCAGCATTCTTTATTTACCATTAATTCAAGTATGTGATGCCTTTTATCTGCTAATGTACAGGAGGAAGAGTGATAAACTGTCTGTCTCGTTGGCTTACATAACAGTTAAAGTTAAAGCCTAAAAAACATGGAGCATTTTTTCCCCTTTTATTCATTTTTATGTCAATTTGCACATTTCATGGTGATGCTCAGCCTCTCCCCTTAACTCCTAACAGTCATCATCATGTCAACCGCAACACAGAGAAATACTGAGAGAAATGTGTGTGTAGTTGTTGATACATTGCTGACAGAGGGAACTACATTTGAATACAGATTTAAGAAATATCAGTTTTTGAGCATGTAATAAGCACAGTGAATTACCCATTTGCTTTCGTGGGAGCCCTATTTTTCAGTGCACATCCTGTTACTAAATATGTCACACGCACGCTCTGTTGACTGGCGGTGGATTTTTCTGCGAGCGGCAGGGAGATCAATATACTTGTTGCCTCTTTGCAAATCTCACATCCACATTTTAATTTTATTTATGAAAAGCCATGGATAGGCTACCTTTCATTCCATTTTCATTGTTGAAGCCTCTTCAGACTCCCCATCCCTCGGTGTGGAGCTGTCAAACTCGACCCTAATGCCGCTTACAGCCGGCCGACTAAAAGTTGTTCCGTTCACGTTGTCATTTTTAGACTCCTTCGCTTCTTTGCTTGTGAATCCAAAAGCTGCGAGGCTTGGCTGTTTTCGTTTCGCCATATTTTGTATTACAAAGTTACAAAAATGTCAATATAATTTTGAATACCGCGCCGGCATCGCCACCGTAACCATAGCAATGTAAGTAGCGTAAAGAATGCAGCGCCGCCACCTCCAGATGGCAACACCCAGAAATAGTCACAAATATAAAACAAATATTCATAAACTGTAATGAACAATCACTATTATTTATTTCAAGAACTTTTATTTACAGAAACTCAACATTTCTAATCTGTGTGTAAATATGGACAATTTTTTTGGGCTCCCCCTATTTATCTCAAAGTCGGCCTTCAGGGGAGCCCCCCCCCCCCCTCTTTAGGGGAGCCAAGCTCCCCCTGGTTCCCCCCCATTTCAAACACTGAATAAGCATGTTCTGTCTTGACTATATTACAACTATATTATAATAAAATAATATAGTAATTACATTATTGATTGATTATGATGATTATTGTTATTATTAGTAGTAGAAGTAGTTAATTTGCATTAATTATATTACATTTTTTTAGAGGCTAGTATTTGGCAGGAAATGCAGATGTATTCACCTGTAAACGCATACTGAACGACATACATGCACATTTACCATTTACCTCACTGTATAAAAAAGTAACTGTGTTGATAATAATAATAAACAGGAATTATATTTGCAAAGTACTTTGTTTCCCCCAAAATAATGTTCACTCCTGTCGGGGGGGCTCATCTCACAATGTCGCTTGGGGCCCCAAGTTCGCCAGGGACGGCACTGTGTGTGTGTGTGTGTGTGTGTGTGTGTGTGTGTGTGTGTGTGTGTGTGTGTGTGTGGTGTGTGTGTGTGTGTGTGTGTGTGTGTGTGTGTGTGTGTGTGTGTGTGTGTGTGTGTGTGTGTGTGTGTGTGTGTGTGTGTGTGTGTGTGTGTGTGTGTGTGTGTGTGTGTGTGTTGGGGCTCCAGCAGGAGCAGTCAGTCTCTTGAACACTTTACCCAGACATGGACTTCATACTGAGGGGTGCTCTCGGCGAAGCGGCGGGGGTCAGCCGGGTATTTGCTCTGCTCTTGGCTTTATGTCCTCTGGAGCTCCTCTGAGGACAGCGGAGGAACTTCAGCGGCAGCTCCGGAGCAGCGCGGCCAGCGGATAGTGTTTGATGGAGGCGGGGGGAGATGAAGAACACACCGCTGGTGACATGAACTTCCTTCCTTCCTGGCTGCCGGGGTCAGGATATTGCCTATTCAGCAAAATGCTCCAGTTGTTCAACACAAGAAAACCAAGAACCAGCAGTCCGCAGACGAGGCGGGAGCTGGGAGAGGAGCACTGGGGATAATGCGAACTGTGTGCCCGGTGTGAGAGCGGGAGTGTGCGGGCAGACGAGCTGAGGGCTGGGTGTGCAGCGGGAACACTTTCTGCCTTACTGGAGGTAAGATTTAGAATAATAAATGCAGCATTGACTGATACTATATATTTAATCAACCTAGAATTGTATTTGTACTTTTACTCCGGACATCTAGAGCCAGAAATAAACGGACTACCTGAAACATTTTGGATTCGTTGTAATACGTTTATCAGATATTATCTTTAATTGATACCATCACTCACTTGTTTATCAGGTTGTAAAATCCAACAGAAACAAGATAGATGAGGCTCATGCCAATAAAATTGACATCAACTGCGTAGCCTACTCTCAAGACGGAACACACACACATTTCAGGTTATTCTATAAACTGGGGCAGTGCGATCTTCTTTTATAGGCTAAAAACGCGTCAAATTAGTCATTCTACCATACACGTATATTTCCACATCTAAATATACTGTAGAAATTATTTATTTATTTCAATTTCAAAAGCAGGTCATATGGAGAACATGTCAAACTGTTAGGAACACATATTGTCCCATCTCAGCATGTTTTTATTATTGAATAACATCCATTTTTAAATGAGTTTGACCCTTAAAATGTCAGGCCCTGTCACAGACAAATGTGAGTACGGTAGAATGGTTTCCTATTATATATTTTGTAAAAAAATATCATTTCCCCATTGATCACATGTCCCTGATTGTATCTGAAAATGTTTTTTTAATCCTTTTAAGAATTCTTAGCAACCTATCAATTAACTGTAGTGGACGGTAAGGAAAGAATAATCGCCAGGTAGTCATATTGTTGTAAAGAAAATACTTTTACACCAATTATTTTTCTAAACAGCTGATGTGGATATGACCCCCCACCTCCAAGCTCACAATTGCATAAGGTATTGCACTTAAAACAATTAAAAGTAAATTCCTGTATTATAATTTCCTGTGTGACAGGACTGACCCTGTCGTGACAGGGTAGACAGCTTGTGACAGGACTGACTTAATAGATTTAATTGACTCAGAAAAGTTATGTTTATATTTCTTAAATCTTGTTTTGGTAAGTTTTCCTTTTTTAAACCATTATCATGATTCAATATTAGACTGATGTGAACAATTCATTTAATCTAATACTAATTGATTGTCAGCTTACTTTTTTTTTTATTATAGATAATACCCTCCATTACAATGTTAGCAGGTATTTAAAGGTCCCCTATTAAACTGTTTTTTATCAATATATCACAGGTCTCAGATATATACAAAACATGTCTCTGAAGTGATTGGCTGAAACACCAAACAGATCATTGCAGCATGATTCTCTGGCCGTGTCTCAATTCAGGGAGTGCAGTGCACCCTTCAGAGTACGCAGCCTACCAGGTCCACGGAGGACCCAGCCCACGTAGACCGGGTAGGCTGGACCGAGCGGCCTACGAAATGAGACGGTCTAGCCTACGGAGGGCTTCGTATTTACGTCACGTGATACGCGCTGTTCGGTTGCGCTGCTCCAGCGGCCTGCTAGCAAATTAGCTTACAAGCTAACTGAGCTGAAAAGGATCCAGAAACTTTACTTTTACATTTTTTGGAGATCACCGTCGGCGATTAATTAAAGAGGACCATGGCCAGGTAAATAAGATGAAGCTGTTCCTTTAGCCCCCAGTAATGTTACATTAGTAAGTTAACAAGTACATTATATATAGCTGATGTAATTTAATCATATTATTTCATATTTAAAGTAAGTCTTAATTGTTATGTAGATTGATTCTTCACAATATTAGTGTTCTAATCTTAATAGCTGTGATTATAACAGTTTATATTCTCCTTCTTCCCCTAAACCTGCCCAGATGATGTCCCACTGACCCCAGGTCAGCACCTCCAGGTCCAGCAGCACCGTGACCCCCCGCTCTGCTGAAATACACAATTAAACATTTTCTATGACCTATTTTTTGTATTAATAAAATTAAACTGAAGACAGTTTAATGACCTAGATATACCCTATTATTCCACTGCTTGTGTACACATGTTGTAAATAATGGTTAAAACCTCAGTAAAACAATGTGTTTAACAATTACAATGTAATATTGTATTTTCATCTTCTCACAAAGTAGAGGTAAGAATATATCCATCCTCTCTCTGCAGCTTCATGTCTTCTATTATTATAACTTTCATCATTGAGACAGAGGAAATCAATCATGTACTTTAACATCACCAGCAGTAACACAAATATCAGCAAAAGTGTGTTTATGGAGTTGTTTATTTGTATTGTATGTGCAGCAAGTATATAGAAGCAGTTGTTTGGGGAATCAGACAGACTCAAGCTATAATCCTTAGATATCTATTAAAAGAAAAGACACATACAAAATTAAACTCTGAAACTAAGACACAAGTCTGTAGGACGACAGTAAGCAGAGGTCTGGGTGGAGGATGCTCCTGATCGCCGTTTTGCTTTCTCTAGCACCTCGGGGGGTCCAGGTGGATGGAGCTCTGTCCTGATGATCCGCTGTGCACTTTTCAGATTAGGGGTCCTTCTCCAGCAGATCCATTTCTCCAGAATTGTCCTAATTACAGAGAAAAACAAGAGAAAAATAAAAAAGTGAATTAATCTATTAAACACAGGGTTGCAAAAGTATTATTGCAAAATGGAACTCTAAGCATTTAGGACAAACAATCCCTAAAGGATCATTTAAAATGATGTACTGTTCTGGTTTTTTAAAAACTAAAGAGATGAAATGACAGTCACACCTGCATCCCTTTGACAGCACAAACTAACATCAAGCTAAAGGCTGCTGTCTATTTTTGATTGTCTTATTATTATGGGATCAGGATAAATTAAATACACTTTAACTTAAATAAAAGATGATTAAATCTGGTGGAAATATTTAAAATAGGCTTTTCTTTTAGCCCTACCTCAAAGCAGCATGAGCTGAATACAAAGGTTGTAATGTGTCCCAAAGTTGAATAAACAGTAAAACATTGGAAGATGTCAGAAAAATAAATAAAGCTAACAGCAGCGACACGTCAGGGTAGCATTTTATAAATCCCACCGTACTGTAGGCTACAGATGTAGCACCTCATTTCAGACTCCAGCTTACAGCTTCCTGCCTACGACCTGCCTAAGACCAGTATCGAGGAATGTTAAGCCCTCCCACTATTTTCCAAGAGGGCGTTGCCAGATTTTCAATTTCAGGTTTTAACCAGGAGATGGCGCTTCATTCACAAATACAGAAAGACAACTTTCATGGACTTTCAGTTGTGTTTTGAAGAGCATTTGAACACATATTTTAGATCAACTAAAGTGTATCGAATCTTGTAATTCAATAATATATAGTCTTTATATATTAAATAATCATAATAATAATGTAAATGTTTACATTACACTTCTTTATTTGTTATGCTCATACTTTTACCTTTACAATCGTTTGCTTTATGCAGTATATTTTTGTATATTTTTGTGTTTGCTTCCTCCTGCTCCCTTTCGGACACATACTGTATGATTTATTATTATTATTAATATGAAGATATTAATAAGATAAAATAAGATGTTACTTTATTGATTGAACATTTTAGTTTAGAATGTGCTGTCCCACGGTAATTCAGAAGGCTCACAGGTCACATTCCGACCATTATTTAAAACAATAGGTGCTTTCACACCGTCTACAGTTTGATTTGTATAGAGGGAGCTCTATGGCTGAATGGCCAGCGATTAGGTGTGGCGCATTTATCATAGGTGATCAGAGCTAACTGCCTGCCGTCAGATTTCATTTAAAAAACAGGTCTGATTTTAAGCTTTTATCTTCAGTAGACTCGACTACTGCAATGGTGTCTTCACAGGTCTCACTAAAAAATATATTAGGAAGCTGCAGCTGATTCAGAACGCTGCTGCTGGAGTTCTCACTAACACTAAGAAAGTGGATCACATCACTCCTGTTCTGAAGTCTTTACACTGGCTTCCTGTGTGTCAAAGAATAGATTTCAAAATACTGCTGCTGGTTTATAAAGCACTGAATGGTTTAGGCCCAAAATACATTTCTGACCTCCTGCTAAATTATGAACCATCCAGATCTCTCAGGTCTTCAGGGACTGGTCAGCTTTCTGTCCCCAGAGTCAGAACTAAACATGGAGAAGCAGCGTTCAGTTATTATGCTCCAAATATCTGGAACAAACTCCCAGAAACCTGTAGGTCCGCTGCAACTCTGACTACTTTTAAATCCAGGCTGAAGACTTTTCTTTTTGCCGCTGCTTTTAATTGAACTATTCATATCTTAGACTGCACTGTAACTTGTATCCATGTACTTTTTCTTTTAATGTTTATTTTATTATCTTTTCTTTTGAATGACTGATTTTAAATGCCATTTTCTTAATGTCTTTCATTTTTTGTAAAGCACTTTGAATTGCTGTGTGTTGATTTCGTCTTTATTATTATTAATATGAAGATATTATTAAGATAAGATAAGATGTTACTTTATTGATTGAACATTTGAGTTTAGAATGTGCTGTCCCACGGTAATTCAGAAGGCTCACAAGTCACATTCCGACCATTATTTAAAACAATAGGTGCTTTCACACCGTCTACAGTTTGATTTGTATAGAGGGAGCTCTGTGGCTGAATGGCCAGCGATTAGGTGTGGCGCATTTATCATAGGTGATCAGAGCTAACGGCCTGCCGTCAGATTTCATTTAAAAAACAGGTCTGATTTTAACACTATTTCTGCGCTCATAAAGAATGATAAGAATAAGAATAATGCGTATTGAACTGGTTTCATTAATTAGTGAGTTTATTTAACACTAGAACCGTCAATCGGGTCAATTTGGCCAATCGGGTCAATGGGCAGTTTTGGCGCAGTGGTCATCAGATCAAGGGGCGTTGGTGAACTCCAGTTTGAATCCCGTCTCGGCCACCACTGCGTCAGGCCGTTGTGTCCTTGGGCAAGACACTTTACCCGCATTTGCTCCTGTGGGTAATGTCCGCAGTAATGACTCTTACATGTCTAATATGTGTAATGTGTACTTGTAAAGCGCTTTGAGCACCTGTAAAAGCGCTCTAATAAAAAATGAAATGCATTATTATTATTATTA